GAAGCAGACTTCAGAAGTCAGGGTATAAGCTGTGGTTTAATACTCCTCTGGGTGAACTAATAAATTCAAATGTCACTTCTACACTTGGTGACAAATTCCCAAGAACCACCCTTACACATCAAATACCACTATGACAAGGCTAAATCCTTTGTCGTGTTGAAGTGACCCTACAGGTAGTCTTTTAAAATTAATTACATGTTTTTAACAATTGGAACATGAGAAAGAAAACCAGAAATGTATGATGTAATTTTATATTGCAAAGATGCATACAAGACATAGACATAAAGGAACCCTGAAAGAGTCACACTAGAAATCACTCTCAGCAATTCCACCTTCTAGATAATACTACTGCTCCCCTCTCCTCTCTCTTTTCTAAAACACCTATTCCCCAAAACTATATCATCTAAACATTTTTATAAGGTTTATAACTAAATGGTTGAAATAACACTGTTGTTAAAATTGATTAGAAGTAGTTACAACTGTGTAAATTTTCCCTGCCTGATCTCATGTATTAGATAAAGAGGTGAGAAGTGGTTTATTATTTGCCTTTATTTTTAATATATTTATTTTGTGTGTATACATGTTTGCCTAAGTGTATGTTCATTCACTGCATGTGTGTAGGAGCCTGAAGAGACCAGAGGAGGGCCCCAGGAACCAGAGTTACAGATGGTTGTAAGTAGCCACATAGGTTCTGTAAGTGAACCCGGGTCATCTATCTACAAGAGCAACAAAGTAGTCTTAAACATTGTTAAGTTACCTTAAGGTGGGCACAATGCTATCTTTACACTGTATTATTCCAAAACAATAAGCTGATCATTTTGTATGATTTTATAATTCATAACAGTTTGAAATAATAAATGGCAAATCTCAATCAGGTTCCTAGGGTGATTAGATTAGAGTGATTATCCCAAAAGTAACCATTCACCTCTATTCCAAAACTCCTTAGGAAAATTTAAGGATAATTTCAAAGAATAATTTATCTGATCTATCTCTTGAGTCAAGCATTAGCATTTGACCCAAAGAATAGAGATCATTAAGAATAAGAAATATATAATGCTGACAAAGATGCCATATATTACTATACTGGAATGTGAATCACATACAATGAAAATCAAGAAATTTTCTGATGATATATTTAACCTCTGGTTCTATCTCAAAATATTTAATATCTTTGTGTTCAAGGGAACTCTAAAAAGCTGTATTTAAGCATGATTAAGTGATAGAGTTGACTTTAAAAGGAAAATAGAAGGTCTAGTTCTTTGTACTTAATATGATCTTATTTATTCTCTTTAGAAGTTGTCTCCCAAAGCAGGATTCATCTCTGCTGACACCAGTCATATTGGCTCAGCACAAACACTGAAGATAATTAATACAAAAAAAGGCCCTCAACTTTTAGAAGTAAAGTTTTAAGAGGCTCAAATAAGTAAATCAACCTGCAAAACTTCGTGGAGGTAGTTATAATTCAGGGTGATGAAGATCAATGCAGCCTTTGACTCTTGTAGACAATTAGAACAATTAGACAATGAGAAGCCTTCACTGTAAGAGTTTTTACTCTGAGCTCATTTTCTTCCTTTCTTGTGAAACACAACTCCAAACCAACTAATTACATCCTCCTATCTTACAACATGAAAACACTTGTGTGTGTGTGTGTGTGTGTGTGTGTGTGTGTGTGTGTGTGTGTGGTGTGTGTGTGTGTTTTCTTTAGATCCTTTCAATAATTGTCTTGATGCTATTACAGAGAAGTGCTGAGTGAATCAAAAGCTTGCACTTCAGTTAGTTTGATTAATCAGTCTTGTTCCAGGGATCCCCTGCAAATTCTCTAGCACACCAGGATTACAGACAACCATGCCCATTTGACTGCTGCTTGAACTCTGGCAATGCAAACAGCTATTCTCATGCTTGCATAGTGAGCACTTTCCCTGTGGAACCATCTCCCCAGCTCTGGATATGCTTTCCAATTGGGGTGGCCCAAGAATTATCCAGTCTAAAATGACAATGATGGGAAGGCTGAATACAGTGCTACTGTGATCCAAGCTCAGAGCTCCTACTAATGCATGAAGCTTCCAGCTACTGTGAGGCAGAAAAAAAACAGACAGCTTGCCTGAACAAATGACCGATTCAGTGATCAACTCAACCCTGGCATTTATTCTCAATCTTGGCACTTGAAGCCCAAGTTCATTCAGTTCTCATTCTAGTTAGAGCCTTTCAGAGCTTTTCTTTGTGCTATTCAGAGAAATACTGAGGAATTCCTCTGCATAAATAAAATTAAGAATAATTTTTAATAAAATTCATTAGACTTATTGGTCTACATTGAAGAAAAGCTCAAAAAAAAGCTAATCAGAATACAACTTTTCAATCACTATCCAATGTCCTTTATGTAAACTACCTAACTTCTGTTCCCCTAAATGAAGCTGATTGATCACTAGTAATTTTCATATTTCTATTGTATTCTAGTTGTCTTTTGAAACTGCAACATTGTTTGTGAAGCGAGGTACTCTTAAATTAAAACCAGGAAGCCTCTATAGTAGAGATAATATAATGTCACAGAGAAATGTCAGAAAATACTTCTCTGTATGCTTCTTGTGAAATATGACATAGCTTAACCAATTTTAGGCTATGCCTGAATGTACAAGCTCCCCAGTCACTGAGGTAGAAAACACACACCAACAAATGGGCAACCTTGTCCATTGTAAGGCTATAAATCACAATCATGAAGATAAGTTAACTGCATTTTCAGGGGTGCAGATTTATCATCAAAGGCCTGATAATCATGCAGCCACTAGAAAAAGCAATGTGTTTGCCATGACTTTAATCAATTCACCAACGCTCCCAACATACAGGTTTTCAATATTACATCACCCTCAAAAACTGATTTTAAAAGCTTGGACCTATGAATATGTGGGGTGTCTGTCTGTCTGATGGTTTTTCTGAACTAGAATTTGATACAAAAGCTGTAATATCTAAAGCCTCAAAAGTAGACGTGTAGGTAGAAAACTGAGGAATACAGGTCTTAGAAATCTTAGAGATTTCCTAGACATGAAAAGTGGCTAGAAATCTGGGTGGATCCCAGTGAAACCCCCATATATTCACCTTTTTATTAATTGCTTTATCTCTTAAATCTTCCTGTTTCTTGCTGGATTCTCCTTGTCAAAGAGGTAATGAAGCAAGAAGGAAAGTTACTGGGTTGAAATGAAGTTAAAGATGCCCCTAAGTTCTGCTTGACCTCACCAAAGGGAAATGTCTCGTTTCCACAAAGCTTTCCAAGAAAGAGAAAGTGACACAAGATGGCAAAAACATCTTGGGCTTCTCAGAGCTGAACCGGGAATACTACAAAACTTTTAAAGAACAAAAAATTAGTAAGGTAATCTAACAATGTCAGGATCTATTTATCAAACTTGTATCTCGGCTATTGAGAATGAAAGTGTAGAGAAACTACCTTTTAAATATTTAAACAGATATTTTCCTTAGAACAAAAGGTCAGCTACATTAGATTAGCTAGATTAGAATTGAAATTTTTCAGTAGCTTAAAAGTTATATAAAATAAAATGCCTGACTTGAAATCCTGATTTTTTTTCTAGAGAGTGGACAAGAGTAACACACAATTGTAAACTCAGCATTGAGGAAATGGGCAGGAGAATCAAAAGTTCAAGTTTAGCCTGAGATACATAGTTCATACCCTTCCTTTAAGAAACAAATCTCAGGCTGGAGAGATGGCTCGGCCATTAAAGGCTGGGCTTACAACCAAAAACATATGAAACAAATCTACCCAAACAAAAAAGAGCCTCTCTGAGTGCAGAGCTTTAGGCTGTCTGTAGAAGTACTCAAAGTCTCCGGTTTTTTCTGTTTTGGTTTTGTGTTTAAGTATAAACTACAGATTTTTAAATCTTTCTTCTCTTTATGATTTGTGTTAATGTGTGCAAGGAATCCAGGATGTATTATGCAAGAAAGCTTATGGCACTGGTTACTAACTCTCTAGTAAAATAGATAATAAGGGTTCCATATCAGAAGACTAATAGAAGAGACATAGCAGGCCAGTACCCCCCCCTGCCACTCCTTGACAGCCAGGGGTGTTGAAGACAGTCAAGAGTGACAAATGTGCAGCTTTGTTAGCTGATATATTATCCACTGAAAAACTCAAGAGTCTAGTGATGATAAAAAGCATTGTATCAGACACAGCAAGTATATTGAGTATCCATTAGCATTCTTATTCTGTAGCTTCCAGAACTATGGGTTAATGTATTATGGAATTTTCTCATATTATGAGCAGAAAACACAAAGCAGTAGCTCACAGTCAAAAGCACTATGCAGAGAAAGGAATATAGCAGCCACTGCCCACAGTGAGTTCCAGATGCAAGATCAGCAATAAACACTGGTGTTGCTCCCACAGACACTAAATTGTTAAAATTTCTTTTCATTCATTACAAATATATATCATTGAACAGTTTTTTAAAACCAAGAAACATGTAAAACAATGAAGATATAAATACAAGATGAAAGAATAACTTCAAATAAATGGAAGGAATAAATTCTAAAATAAATATAATTGGGACGATTACCCTTCATTTGGAAAGACAATGTCCTACCTTGCTTCTGTCTTGCTGTGATAAGCACCATGACCCAAAACATTTTGAAGGGCCATAGTTTAATTTGGTCTACAGGCTATAAGCCACCATTAAAAAAAAGCCAAGGTAGAACTCGAACTAGAAACCAATGGAAAAATGGTGCTTACTGGCTTGTCCCCAAGGCTTCCTCAGTTTTCTTATACACACCCAGGACACCATCTGCCCTTGGGGGTGACACTACCCACAATGGTCTAGGCCATCCCATATCAGTCATTAATCAAAAAACACCCCCACAGACCAATTTGATAAAGGCAATTCCTCAACTGAGGTAGCCAGGCAGTTCTGTGTCAAGTGGACAAAAACTAACCAACACACAAACCAGCCTTCCTATTATCCTACACAAGAAGCTGACTCCACAGAAATATACATTTATGTGTATATCTGATACTTTGAGGGACCATCTCTAGAGCTCACTAGTAGAGAAGCTCCTATGGACATGTAGAGTACCTAAAAGCAGGAGGCTGAGGTGTGGTGTTCTCTCCTGAGCATGAAGCAAGCTCTTCCTGTGGCTATGTAGCAACAGCCTTCTGCCATTAGTGATCAGTCTTCTTTCCCCTTGGGAGAGGTAGAGAGAGACAGAATCATATGAGAGGCATTCTATTTGAGAACAGAAAAAGAAAAAGGATCACATTATTAATCAGAATATTTTTATATTTGGATTAATCCAAGGTTGACCTAAAGCTCAGAAATCATATAAGAAAATATTTAAAATTTTGATATTCTACATTAGAAATTTTACTATAGAAAATATATCAGAAAAAAGTAAATAAATATCAAGAAATGTATTAGTCATAAATAAAACTAAGGGTTAATATCACTACCACATACTTTTGAATCAATTTTTATTAAAAAGGAACAGTCTAGTTTTTTTTTAAAAAAAAAAAAAAACCAAAGCCCACATTTACAGAATAATGCAAATGCCCACCAATGAAAAGATTTTCAGTTTCGCTAATGAACTAAAGGTAATAAAGCAACACAGATTTTAACCTGCTTGTCAAGTATTGGTATGAATAGTGATGTCTCGCTAAGAGGATGTAGTTGGTACATTCAAGACATTGTTAGGGAGTCCAAATTGGTACAACTTTTCTGAAAGAGAATCTGACAAGCTGTGTCACATTCAAAATATGTGCGCTTTCAAACATAGCAACTCCAGCACTAAGGATGTATCTAAACAACTAATTTGGTGACACTCAATGAGTTGTGTGGAGTTAGTTACTCAAAATTATTTAAAATAATGACAGCTTTTAAGCAACTTATGTATTGATCAAATTATACTGTTTTAGTATTATGAAATACTATTCACTTGCTTAGGAAGAATAGTGTTTAGAACACTGTTCTTGATATATTAATGTTGTATTGAAATGGGGTACAAAATATTGTATAGCATAATACAAATTATTGACACAACTTTTCTAATGCTATCTTTAAAAACCAGAAAGATATACCCAAAATCCATTTGAGAGTGCACACTGCTCTTACAAAAGATCTTCATTCCTCTCCCAGGACTCACATTGGGCATATAGCTCAAAACTGCCTGCAATTGCAGCCCCAGGCAACCTAAAATGCCCTGGCCTCCACAGATACCTGCAATCACATGCATACACAGACACACACACACATAACTAAAAATAAAATATATTTATAAAAAGTGAGAAGTTAGAACAATACATTAAAGCCAACTTAACGTGGTTTTTTTTTTGTTTGTTTGTTTTGTTTTGTTTTATAGTTTTTTTTCTTTTGTTTCTATAGTTTTTTGGGGTTTTGTTTGTTTGTTTTGTTTTGTTTTGTTTTTGCCAGTGAACCTTGTTTTATCTTGGTAATAATTACATGAAACAGCCAAAGAGAATGTATTAAAATACAAAATTCCCATCTTTTTAATGAGCTCATAAAATTAAATATAAGTGAACTGTCTGCTTTCATAAAATAATGTTGATTTTATTTCTGATGTTGCAAAAAGATATGCTAATCTTTTAGCATTGTTTTTTCTTATCCAAAATAAATAGTTGTTCTAAAAATTATTATCAAAATACAAAATACATGACCTTGTTTTTATAAATTAGAAATCATGATTGAAGAAATACCGATGGCTCAATGTTAATATCTAACATGTGCTATTAGGTTAACTGTATCTAAAAAATGTAGAAAGCATCTACAAATATGAAAACATGATGACACATTATTTATTGAACAAATTACAATTATAAAGAAAGAAACTAAAGTAAAAGACCCTGAGATTAACCACAAATTTTGTGGATCACAACAGGTTCATTGGAACACACAGAAGAATTGGGTAACTTACAATTAATTTTTCAGATTTCCAATCCTGTTCTGGAGCACACACCCTGAAAAATGGTTTGCTATTTTAGTTTCCACACTCAGTCTTTCTCCTGGGACACCAACTGGCCTCGGGAACAGGGCTAAGTTAACAGCAGGTATTCCTTTTTGAACTGTTAGTAGATATTAAAAGGACTGAGTTGAACTAACCTAAATTCTTTACATTGGAACATAGGGGTCATCCCCAAGAGGGTCAAAACTTAAAATATTTGCATGTTCTTCTCAATAATCATTTCTCTCTTTTAAGTGTTCTAGTTTTTGTTAAATGTGAATTGTATATAAAGTGTCCAGATGGCTCCTGTATTGTCACTCTGTAGAACTATGAGAGAAACCCAGTTTCTCTCACAGCAGCACAACCTAGGTTAGACAAGGCCAATTCTTTACCTGTTTTCCTGGGCCACATCCACAATATCAGTGAAGTTTACAGAGATTCAAGTTAGTAAATGTTAAAGTAAAAGTACATGGTTTTTAGATTGGAAATGAGAATGTAAACTGGCCAACTGATCTACAGGGCAGTAAATAGCAACACTCTAAATACCCTTCATGCACCTTGGAGTAACCACTTATATTCAGCCAGTATTGTTAGAGTCACAACAGATTTGCTCACTAGATCTTTCCAAACATTGACCAGGTAGTATTCTAAGCCACAATACATTCATTTGTCCACAAACATTAAAGCCGTGGCAGATGTCTTCTAACCCATTCTTCTAACCCAGTAATCATCAGTGGTTTTCAACCAATGTCCCAAAGAATTATTTAGAATTGTTGCAATGTTTGCCAGCCCTGGTGGGTAGAAGATGGGAGCACTAAATTCTAGTGATATCTACAATGTTCAAAAAAATAAAAAATAAACAACTTCAATGTCCGGATCCCCTTTTTAAGGCCAATGCACTCACTCAGTTTCTGAGACTATCACTGATTTTTTGTTATATCTCTGATTAAAGCCTACCACAGAGAATTGCCTTACCCAGGGTCAAATCCCTGATACAGACACCTGGCTTATATGCTTCAATTTGATACAATCCTGAAGGATCATCCTATACCCATAGCTTTCTGCTGTGTTAACAGAAGGAAGGCTGTCCTGTCATTAGAAAACTATCTCCTGTGAGCACATGCCAGTTAAACTTCTTCACTCAATCTAGGACAATCTCCGATAAGACACACTCCTTTTACTATGTTCTCATATTCAATGAAAGTGAGGTTGGTTCCAAAAGGGGTAAGAATAGTGTTCAAAATACGAATGAGCACTCACTGCAAAATGTGAGAAGGCTGAGAAATAAAGAATGAACCATTCTGACATTTATGGTTGAGCATCCTAAGTACCCATGACATAGGTAGCCAGATGATAATGACAAAAAAACAGACATTTAGACCTGACAATATGAAAAGGGTTAACTAATTATAGAGCCTGAGAATCAATAATTTCAATCTACTAGAACAGCAGAAACAAAAGACTACTAAAATATTTACTGGAGTATCTACTGTCAGTATGCTGAACTATTCATATTTAATGTTCATGGTGGTAATAGAGAGGGAAAAACACTGGAAAATTTTCTCTTATAAACAAGCAACTGTAGCTAGGAAATGACTCATCAAGTACAGGTATCTACTGCCAAGCCCAAAGACCTGAGTTTTAACCCTGGAACACACATGATAGCAAGGGAGAACCAACTCTGGGAATCTATCCTATGACTTTTATGTACATAATAAAATGTGATATTATGATATATAATGTATAATAAGTCATTTTTAATTTAGAAACATCTTATAGGATATAGGAACTACTCAGTAGGGTTTTTTTTAAATAAAGCATAAACAATGAATGAGATCTTCACTGACAATGCATATACCTTTCTCTGAAGATCATAGTTAATTCTAATCACCCACTGTCCACCAAAATATTCTTTTTATCCTCAGTATTGTCTTCGTAGACATTTGCCAACACTGAAAGACATACGCTCTTCCATGGTAAATTTCCTACTCTTATTTTAATGCAATTCTTGGAAACTATTATAATAGTTCTACTTTGTAATGTTTATACTTGCAATCTCTTTGTTCTGTTTCATATGCAGAAATTTACCCTATTATTTTTAAGAAACAGCAGAGAAAGAACTAACATTGCTAAAAGTTCCAATTGTGAGCTAACTGTTCCTTCTTCTCTAAAACAGGAAAATGAAATACAAATGTTTGGGGAGAAAAAAAAGCACTTGGAAGGCAAAATTAAGGCAAAAAATCAGTAAGGCTTTGGGCTTTTTTGCATAAAAGGAAAATTGCCTTTATCACACTGCCTTTCTTAATTTTCTCAGAATCAAAATTAGTACCTTAAAAAATAATATAGCATAGTGAATGAAAGGAATTATTACCAAAGCCAATGTGAATAAGATAATTTCTCCAAAGTCTCATTTGAAACAAATTTGATATTTAAATGTGGAAATTCATAGAAGTCCTTTGAGTTTAATTAAGTATCTCAAAATATTATGCCAAATACTTAAGATTTATTTTTAAATCTTTTGAATAACACTAACTATATACATGTCCAAAGACAATCCTGAAGACAATAATTTTTCTTGCTTACAATAAAAGTGGCCCACTTCAAAGTCTGAGAGGTAATATAAACAAAATACTAGATTCCTATTTCTTTATAATATAAAATGAATTTTGTGCAATACATTCACAGGAAGCATTAAGTAGAATTTACTGTTAATAATTTTTCTGAACTTAGTGTTCTTCTGTATGAAGGGACAGGAGAAAAAAGCCAAACCTTAAGACTTACTCTCTAAAAGTTGAACAGTGATAGGCACTATTGTCAGATCCCATCCTTTCATGTAAACTCTGATTTTCCATTAAAGAACACCATTATATTATATTAGTCATCCTCTGATTCATTGGCCACAAACTCTTCATATTGCACACAGCAATCTTATCTTTGATTAAATCTTGGGAAAGTAATAAGCATCCTACATTTGGGGTTAGCAATACAGACCTCCTCCTGTGTTTAACATATCCCAGTTTCTGGGTAAGTGACAATTCAAAGGCTAAACCAGACAAGTCAGGACAGCTTGACTTGATTGGTTTCCCGGTCGTACAGCTTGCAATCTTTCAATTTCAGCGAGGTAGCAGGGCATCATAATAAGGACAGATTGTTCCATCAGCAGAAGCAGCAGCAGCTTTCTCCAAAACTGAGACTGTTTTCCAAATGTGCATGCTCTAGTTAGGGCTAAGGTTATTTATTCAAATGCTAATAGAAGTTAATTT